TCGGCTTAAATTTAATTATAAAAAATTTAAAAATTCGGCAATAATTCGACATGCCGAATGACCAAATTTCGACTAGTATTACTTATTATTATTTTTTTTTAAATCACTTTTCTTGTTTATTTTTATAACTAAATATAAGAAATTTACTAGAGTTCTGAAAAGTATTAAACCAGTACTGAAGTGATATCAAAATGATAAATTTGATATATAGGTTGTAACTCACTCATATGAATTTATAATAAATTTAAGTATTAAACTAATATAAAACAGATATTAAAATGGTATCATTAGAAATACTAAAATCTATCCAAGAGGTCTATAGCAAGAATATCTTTTTAGAAAGAAAACTAATAAGAAAAAATACTATCCAAAGACTTTCAAGGGATTCAAGAATTCAAAGAAATAAAGAAAAAAAAATTTCCAGTTTCTCTATTATCTCTTTGATTTTCTATATTTTTTTTTCAAGCATATTTCTTTTTTTTTTAAGTTTTCTAAGAAATTTTATTTATCTTAGTTTTATCCTAAATTTTTGGTTACACCAGATTTCCTGAAAAATAATTGGTTAAGGTCACAAATTGATTGATAATATTAGTTACAAAAAAAGTAAACAAGATATATTCTCCTATTTGTTTCCAGTTATATAATACTAAACCGATAATATAATTAGTTCTTGAAAGAGTTAAACAATTTTTAGTTAATTTTTTTTTTGTTTTTCCTTTTTTTTTTTAATTTTTTTTTAGAGGCAGAAAGTAAATATAAGATTCAAGTTTTATTTTAATCTAATAACTATTTATCTTAAAAATGATTGAAGAAAGGGGTTTTGAAACTATCTAATAGTTAAGTAAAACAATAATTTCAGAAAATATAGCTTAAAAAAAAAATCAACAATAAAAAACCAATATTCTTCTAGTTAAAAGTTTTCAAATATAAAGTTTCAAGAAATACTTTTCTGAAAATATCTTTAAATGTTCTTGAATATTACTACTTCAATAGAAATTAAATAGTCTAACTAATTATAAATAGTAAAAAGTAAGTATAGTATCAATTATAAAAGACTTGAAGTTTTTATTTACAAAGATAATCTTTTTAATAATAGTTAAAATAAATAATAGTTTTTTTTTTATTTTTATAATAGTAACTTTCTTTTTATATATATTTGTGCTATTTTTTTTCTTCTCTAAAAAATTTTTTTTATTTCTTTCCCTTATATAGTTTTTATAAAAGAAGATTGTTACAATTTGAATTTATAGTTGTGATTGTAAAAGTGATCTGCAAGTTTTAATTCTATTAAAAATTTTGAATCTTAATCTTATTTATTAAAGGAATAACATATTATTATTATAAATTATATTTAGAGGCTTTGGCTATTAACGAGTAAGTTAGATTGAAAAGATTTATACTTTACTTGTATTCTTATACTTGTGAAGGTTTTATGATTTAATAAATAAATGATATCAGCCTAATTGTAGATTTAAAAAAAATAAAAAAAATAAATATATATATATTTGTTTAATTATAATAAAAAAACAAAAAACAAAATTTTATAAATTGATTAAAAATAAAAAAAAAATTATTTTTTTGATTATATTTATTTTACTTAAAATTTCTATTTATAATAATTTTGATTAAAGAAAAATACTTTATACTTTTTATTATAAGTAAGCTTTAGTTCAAGAATTTAAGAATATTAAAAATAAATAATATAGTAAAATAAAATCTTTAGTTAAAGTTTACTTAAATTTAAGAATCTTGTTTATTTTTTAATTATATAGAAAAAAATTTGTAACAAAAAATTTTTATTCTTTAATTTTTTTACAATTTAAATCTTTTACTATTATAAAAACTATTCTTATTAATATTAATATATTTATTAAACTTATAAATATTTTCTAAAAAATATATTCAAATAAAGTTATAAGATTTAATATTTGTTTTAATATAATCTTTATATATTTTTCTATTTTGGTATTACTTATTGTATTATTCAAAAAAATTTACAATTTTTTTTAGTTTCAAAAATTGAAATTAATTTATTTCTTTTAATTAATTTATTAGTTCAATAATAATAACAACAATAATAACAATAATAACAACAATTATTATAATAAATAACTTTTAAGTATATTCTATTATCCATAATAACAAAAGCAATATTAATAAATTTTAAAGAATTGAAGAAATAGAATAATAAATTTAATTAGGAATTTCTTTAAAGATATAATTTTTATTTTTACAGATTTTATAATTTATTTGATTTAGTTTTAATTTTAATTATTTTTATTTTTTTCTCTATTTTTCTTAAATATAAAAACTTTTTTTCTAAATAGATAAATATAGTTATTATTCAATCTTTGTTTAACAATAGTATTGTTTAAAATTTTTTTTTTTACTAATTAAACATTATATAAATAAACAAGCTAGCTTTAACTTATTGTATACTTTTGTACCTAAGAGATGTTGTTTCTTTTCAAATATGTATATCATTGTATGCACAAAAAATAAAGAAATAGTGTTTATCTACTTTAAAAAATAAAATAAATTTTTATTTAAATTATATACAGTAAATTTATATTAAAAGAAATTATTCAGTATATATGTAATCTGTAATTGATTAATAAAGCCGCGCATGTATCGCACTTAGCCCCCCCCCCAAAAAAAAAAAAAAAAGAAATTATTCAGTATAATATCCAATGAAAGCATCAATCCGGATGTCACATGGTGTTGAAACATCTTAATTTGATGCGTCATGGAATTGTTATTTCAAACACGCAATGGCAACGGTTCGACTTGTTAACGCGCGACACCCTGCTCCCAATGGCGAACAAACACCTTTGATACCTGTAAACATTTGTTCAGCCCACCAGCAGAGATTTTTGGCCCTTACTATATATGGCGTTTTGCTAGCACTTAAGGCATATACGGTAAACCTATTTTACTGGTGCCTGTTAGATGCTCTCTTTTTCTTTGGATTGTATACTTTACGAATACCGTGGCTACAAAAATCCCTGTGGTTTTGGTTACTCTGTTTTTTTGTCTCCTGTCTTATCAACGCTAGTCTTATAAACCCGCTTTGGGTATGATTATATTTGATTTTACGCGTAGAATAAAGTAAACTCGCTTTCTTACTCTTTTTTCCCTCAAGGTTTACGACGTGGAATTAAGGAAACATGCTTATGATGTGTTCAGCTCGTCCTCTCTACTCAGTAAGTTACGTTTAAGCCTATTCTCTCCTTTCGCTGTTCAAAAAAACGTAAGAAAAAAAAATATATAAAGAAAAAAAATCAGGCTAAAGTAAGAGATTGATATATTGTTCGGGAATATTCAGTAGGAAATCAATTAATCAAAAATTTCAATATTTATCACACTAACATAATTTCAAATTATTTAGTTCAACAACAGTATCTTAGGTTAAGAGGTGAGAAGGTGCGAGCGGTTAGTTCCGAGGAAAATATTCAAATAGAAGGTGATGTTTCTTTTTCTGACTAACCAAACAAGATAAGCGTGTTGGTTTTACTTATTATATCATAATAAAAACAGATGTGAGATATAACTCGTCTCATATAAAGGGAAAGCATACAGTTCGACTGCTACCATTTGCCAGCGCAAAATTAAATCCGGATGATGAAAGGCTGTGTTTGCAAAGGAACGATAAAAAAAAGTTCATCGAATTACCTATACTTTTTAATCGGACTTACCCACATGCAATTACATACTCAAGAGTGGATTTCGAAGCCGGTGCTAAAACTCTACACCAATTTTCTTCAAAAGACATTGAGCGGCATCGTATCGTTGATGTGATTCAAGATGGTGTCTATGTTTATATACCTATTAATCAACCGGGTGCATATCGTATTGAAGAGGCATCTGATGAGGATGAAATGGGAATAAAGATCTATAATCGACAGGAAGTCATAGTTTATTGCCCTTCAGCGGAATTAGTACCAAAGTCAGATTTGAGTTTGTGTTTTGACGATGTAATAGAAGTCGATCTAGTATTGGAAGGTGTGCCTCCATTAAGTATTCAGTATGAGCGACAAGT